ACATAGGACTACTGCTCGCACTCATGCTTCTCCCTGAGGTCTGACTTGGCCTCTGTAATTATAGCAGTTCGGTGCAAAGTCATGATAGATACTGAAAGCATTGAACATGCGTGGGTATAACTTCACGTTCTCGCGCCCTGGCCGCTCAAAAAGGTGCGTGACGCGTGCTCCATTCCTTCCAATCGATGCATCTAGCCGGCTCTTCCTGATCTTCCTCGTCCTCATCCTCGCTCTCTTCTTCTTCATACTCGTCCTGATCTACGCCATCAAGAATTTCGGGCCCTTCATTCGCCTTCCAGATGGGTCGATGCGAATGAGCCAGTTGCTTGTACATGTTCTGAGGGTGGCCGCGCTCTGAAGTAGCCATCTTGAGAGCCCAACGCGGAGCCAGGTGCCTCCAAAAGAAAACGCCATTTCGCGCGCTTGGGTGATGAGGGAGGCCTTTTCGATCACCATCTCTACCGCTACGATGCTGTGCCATGTGTTTCTGGTGCATTTCCGGTGACTCCACGCCATCGCGATGCGGGACACATCCACCAACGCTGGCGCCTTCGCGCAGGGGATTCGGACCGCCAGGACCGGGATCGTCGGGCGGTGGGCCAGGGGGTGGGCCAGCCGACATGAACATCGACAGTGGCCATGATGGAATGTAGCAGAAGGACTGCACCGCAAGAGGGAGAATTTGGAAGCTCGTGAGCGATATGGCGCATGCGTCACAGTTCAGAGCGAAACTCACATCTGCTCCGCAGGCTTCGGGGCAAGTGTCCCACGAACTCCACTCGAGCTCAGAGCGTAGCGTGTCCAGACGATCTTCCCAGCGATGCAGCCATCCAGCGTCGTGCGTGTTCTGGGCATCCAACGCTTCTGGACGTGCAGCAGCAAATCGACGTGACAGAGTCTCGTCGAACAGCTCGATCGTCATGTAGCAGAGAACCTTTTGTGTAGATAGAATGGCAGCGTTCCACAGGCTTGATGTGGGTCCCTCACGAGCAGTCCTGCTAGTATTGTCGGTCAATCTTTCCCCAGCGCATCGCTCTAAAAGCCCCGTCTTCCATTCTGCACGGGTGGTATCTGAATCTGGGCTTGCACTGGAGCGCGGCCAAGGGACAGTCGGACCCACGAGAGCATGCGCCAGGAGAGAGTAGGTCAGTACGTTGATCTCCTCGACAACCTGAGTGACCTCGGCAAAAATTTGAGCAGCCGCCGACGCTTTAGCAATGGGCGTGGCCGCGCGAGCCGAGGCGTTGTGCTGCTGGTAGAGCGACATTGTGGCGTCTTGCAGTAGACGTGCGATCGACTCCAGTCTCATTCCCCAATGCTCCTGGACCCCTCTGGCCTTTTCAGACCAGTCAGCTTCCAGATGCACTTTGGGCCTCCGATACCAAGCGAAAATGCGCGGCTCATGCGTCCTGTGCCAAGCCTCGACATTTTTCGCCACAGCCCTTTGCCATTTTTCCGCATCGTGCTGGGAAATCTCCCCCCAAATTCGGTGGTTTCTCATCCTACGAGGGCGGCCATCCTTGTTGAATCGTGCAGAATCGAGGGACGAGTAATCTGGAGCATACAAAGTTGTTGCGAAGCCAGCGTCCAGCACAAGACTGGGTTGTGGAGAAGTGTTCCGTGCTGTAGCGCTGCGAAGCCACTCGAAAGAGCCCCGTGCCAGCAAAGGACTGTGGTGCGGATGAAGCTGCCGAGGTCAACGAAAATCGTTTTGTGCATCATTGCGACGCACCGCGGTACTACATACTCACGACTTCAGTCCGCGAGGCGGAGGGCCCCGTGGTCTCTTGGGATAAGGACCATCTGAGGGATGCCCACCCGGCCGGTCATCAGAGACATGCCCTCTCATTCCATGAGGCAGATCCGGTAAAGAAGATGGTGGTCCGTACACCGCGTCGGTGCAATGTGTAGCCTGTCCGTCATCAACAAATCGACGTTGGCTGTGCTTGTGAGACTTTGAACGACTCCAATCTTGGTGATCAGGGTGGCGCATATGTTCATGATTTGCGGGGTGCTCTTTGTGTTCGTGACGCCGGTGAGCTGCATGGGGTCTTCGACCATGTCCTCCTCCTCTTTCTTTCTTTGCGTGGGCTTTGCGGCGATGAGTCCGGTCGGCATGACCTGGAGGCGGCCCCTTAGGTCTGTGCTTGCCCTTTCTCATGTGGGCTGGAAAGGGCGGGGTGCCCGGAACGGTGATGTTGAGGTGATTGAGTGGCTTGAGAGCAGATGATGTGAGATCACACATAAGGACTTCGCTGTGGCGGATGGAGAGAGACCAGCTTAGCATAGACCCGACTGAGCTCCATAGCGAGCACAGACTTACAAGCCCTATTTGTGCCGTAAGGCAGGCCAGGACGATATGCAGGCTTCGAGTCAACGTCTGAGCAATCTTGGCTCGTACGGCGCCCGGGCTCTCACCGTGTTCATCCTGACAATCGCTTCGATGATAGACCCATGCCGTTTCGCCCACCGACAGAGCCTTACGGCCCTGCCATAGTCATCCCACCAATTTGGTTCATCATGGCGAGGGGTGCCTGGTCCGCGATCCTCGCGATGCCCTTTCGTCACCGACTTACCCCGAAGAAGAAGCTCCGCACTTTGCGTCCCGCCGAGCTCGACGCTGAGTGCGGCTGATTGCCCATCAAGGTACAAGACGCGGAGGGGTCTTTGGAGCGCATATGTGTGTAGGACTGGCGTGACGCAGAGTGAGCGAGATCGCCTGTCAACTTGCTGCATACGTGCGCTCTGTGGATGCAAGGACGAGGGGTCACTTACATGTGCCATTCTCTGACGGCCTGCTTGCCATGATCGCAACTTGAAGGTGGATGAGGAGGCGTTGCACAGAGCATTGTCAGATCGGGGATGCGGTCGATCCAGCGCAACCAGGTAGGCCACTCGCAGCTCACAGCTCATCTCGACGTCCCAAGCGAGCCATTCCGGACTGGGGGGCAGGCCCGCATCTGTTCTGGCATGATACAGGACTGTACCGCTTCTGATGAAGCCAGGTACAGCAGCATGTCCTGCGCTATGCCGAGCATTGGGCAGCTGCAGGCCTAAGCCGGCAAGCTGAGCAAACAGGAAAAGTCCGTTTCGTCCTACCTCGGCTCCCGCTTGTGTGCCATTAGGCTCTTCTTTTCTGCACTGTGCAATAAGACGGGATGATAAAGCGGCACAGGCGATTGTCAAGAAGGACAAGACTGCGATGCTTGTCCAGCTCAGATTGTGTGTGGCCAAGTGCGGCTTTGCCTGCGCCTCAGACGCAGGGCCACGAGCCGAGCGGGATGTGAATTGAGGTCCATCCAGCTTTGCCGCACGAGCAACAGGGCCCTCCACAGCGTCCTTTCCTGGTATCGCAAGGTCTACCATGACTTTGTCGTCACCCAGAGCAGCCTGCTGTGAGCGCTGTGTACGCCTCTACGGCTCTTTTTCGTCAAGGCATGTTGATGCTGACCATCCCTTGCTGGTCCATGCAGTGCGAGGCCGAGTGCGAAGACGAAGCACCGCGCGCCGCGTTGTAATTCGGAAATGGGTGAGCTAGGTGATGGAGAGGCGGCTGTCAGTTGAGCCTCCTGGAGCTGCGAGAACAGCATTTTTGTTGGTGAAGCGTACGCTGGGTAGAGAGCGCCAAGATTTGCAGAAGGAGGATCGAATCGAGCGAAGTGGCGCGCGCTAAATGGCGAATCGTGCATCGGCAACGGCAAGCTTTTCCTGCACAGCCACGCGCGCCCCTGCCATTTGCCATCACGTGCGGTCCAAAAAAGGCTGAGGGCATTTCCCCTCATTTGCTTCTCATTCTTGATTCTTGCTTCGTGATGCATCTGGTGAGTAATTACACTACCATCGACGTTCACCGACACTTTGTGAGGCTGACCGACCGCTTTCTTTCATGAACCAGCGATCCAAACCGGCAAAGCCCACGTCCTTCGCACACAGACGCGTGCGTTTGGGTTCTGAGCACGCACGCAAAAGCTGGCACAAGGAAGTCAAATTAAACATGCGACTGCAAGAGATTACCATGGGCTTGCAACCACAAAAAAGAAGTAGAATAAGGCTCACGACTGTCCAAAGAAGCTGCTGATGTCGTCGAGCAGCTCTTCAGGCACTTCCTCCGGCAGATAATGACCCGCATCCAAAGCTTTGCCGGTCACCGTGATCTGCGGATTTGTGACCGCCTGCCACAGCTTCAATGGGTCGAACAACGCTTCAATGACGCCCTTCTTGCCCCAAAGCACGCGCAAAGGTACTTGGAGGCGTCTATCGGCCGAACGGTCCTGCGCATCAAGTTCCAGATCCACTCCGCCAGGCCCTGATGCCCTGTAATCCTCCGCCGTTGCGTGCGCCTTGTCAAAGTCTCGCAGAGCTTCGATGTAGGCCGCAAAGACTTCTGGAGGATGCACGACTTCTTGAGATGCGGTGGATAGGCGTGAGACCATCTTGTTGACGTAGGTCTCAGGAGAACGACTGAGCATCTCCTCCGGCACTGGCCAGGGCTGGATCAAGAAGAACCAGTGCCAGTAGTACGTGGCAAATTTGAGGTTGGTCTGGGTGTACATGTCCAGCTGGAAAGGCGGGTAATCATTTCAGGGTCAATCGGATGGCTGCTTATCGTGAAGCGTAGTGGATGCGTCAGACTCACCGTCGGTGCAATGTCAAGCACAATCAGCTTGAGGACTTTATTCGGATTGTCGAGCGCCAATCGATGCGCAACACGCTTTGAGGGACACGGCGCAGTGCAGTGCAAGTCTCAGTGTAGGGCTCGCTGCAACGTGCCACTCCGTCATTCAAGAACACTCACGCCTCCTCGATCGTGCCCTACAACATGAAAACTGTCGTATCCATAATGTTGCCTTGATAAAATGCGCAGAAACGTCCATGAGAGAAAGGTTCACTTCAACCCCATTGAAGCACACTCACATCACATGGACAGCGTCTCTCGCCATCATTCTCTTGCTATACCTCCATCTACTCTGATGCGGAGGGCCCAGCTCATTGTGACCCGCCTCTGCGTGCCTGTCGCGCACCAAAGGCGAATCGCTACCTCCATGACCTCTCAGATCCACAGCGATCACGTCCCATCCATCGTTCGCCAGCGGTCGGGCCATACGTCTCCAAATGATCGAGGATTGCGGATGTCCATGCAACAAGAGCAGCGGTCGACCTTTCCTACTTCCCAAGGCTGCATCTCGATGAGCCAGGACTCGAACGTTGCCTACGCTCGGGTCTTCGTCAGAAGGAGGCACACAGATGAGCTCGCTGCTAAAACCAGCTTCCTTGAGAGCGTCCTGAGCGGGGATGGCTATTGCTCGCGACATCTTGCTTCCATGCACCAGAATGTGAGGCTGATTTGCGAAAAGAGATTCAAGACGATTGTCATGGTGGGAAAGGCCGCTTGAGACGGCCGCTCGCCACTGTTTGCAACTGTGCACAAACAATTTCCATCGAGACCTGCGGCGAGTGCGGGGTAAGCGCCTCCACATTGCGCGAGTGTGCGCGGGCCCTGTGCGCTTGGCGCGGCTTTAGCAGCAGACGCTAGGCCTTTTCTCCGGGCGGTTTCGTGGTCTTCCAGCGTGTGACGTGCCTCATGAAGGTGGCAAGCATGCAATCTACTCTCATTGAACGATGCCGCGCTCTGAACGCTTCATGCGCAAAGGCAGCAGCGCCATGCGCGAGACGCTGGTGATTTCAAGCAGCATTGCTGCAATGTGTAATAGTACAATTGTATGCGATCTGGTTGCGGTGGGCTTAAGTTGCCGGAACGTCCTGCTCAAATGAGAAACTGCTCCTTGGGGTGATGGATCTTTGCGAGCCGCGCAACGAGACCGCCGAGCTGAATGAGAGTAGACACTCCCTCCAAGACGCGCATGTGTGTCCAACCAATTTCGCGTATAAAGTCTAGCTTGAGCGCTTCAGGCATCTGGTCGATCGTCTTGACCACCCTGAATAGTCCAGTGACAATGTCCACCGCAGCATATCCTTGAGTCCAGAGCTCATCCAGCTTCTCCATAGCAGAGTCTACATCCCCCTTATTGCAGGATAAGAGAATCTGACGAATCACAACGGGGTGGGGTTGATCGCAGACCTTGAAGACATTATCGGGAGAGACGAAGCCCAAACCCGTCCAGGTCGATTGCAAGTTGTTGATCGCTTGTCTCATATCTCCTTCCGAGGTGAAGACGAGCGCTCCCAACCCTTCCGCAGAATACTTGACATCCTCCAATTTGCAAATCTCCTTCAGCCTGCCCATCACTTCTTCGTCTCTCAGCTTTCCGTACCGCAAGATTGCGCATCTGGATTGGATAGGATCGATTATCTTGTTGCTCTGGTTGCAAGCGAAGCAGAACCTCGTAGTATTGGCATAGATCTCCATGGTCCTTCGCAAAGCTTGCTGTGCGCCAGGCGTCATGGAATCCGCTTCGTCGAGAATGATGATCTTGTGTCTACCAGGAGGCAGCGTGACTTTCTTTTGGGCAAAGTTTTTGATCTTGTTGCGCACAACATCGATGCCGCGCTCATCGCTGGCATTGAGTTCCAGAACCCCTTCCTTGTATGCGTCTCCAAGCAAAGCGTGGGCCAAGCAGTGCACGCTGGTTGTCTTTCCGATGCCTGGCAGTCCCGATATGAGCAGATGTGGACAATTGCCATCTTCTTGGATTACCTTCAGTCGATCCACTGTGGCGCTATTGCCAACCACATCGTCCAGCTTGGTGGGTCGATACTTCTCCACCCACGGAAGTTCGTAGGTCACTGCTGAGCTCGTGGCCTGTGCCGATAATCCATCCTTCGCAGCTCTTGGTACCTCCGACATGGTAAGGCGGCAAGGCTTGTCGGCTGTGACGGAGAATGGGACTGAGCTTGGAGGCGTGACTGCGCGCGTGCAGCTCGTGCGCTCTGTTGGGCAAGTGGCCGAGAGTTGCCAAGAAGATCAGAGATTCGAAGAGCCGTGGGACGTCGGTGCGCGAGGTAACGGAGGTGAAGTTGGATTCTGCGCAGCGCGCTCACGTGTGACGACTTTGTAATGAGATGCTCGATAGACAAATCAGCTGACGGCAACGCATTCACGGACCAAACGAGGTGGTGGAAGCAAGCAGTCTCGCCCAACCGAGAGGCTGCCTTCAGGCCGAACAAGCCTTGCGAAGAAAGCTGCTCATACTCTTTTGACTCATCGTGCCGTGCGTGTTGGCTGCAAGCACACGCGTGATGTTGCGCCTCTTTACGCGTCGCGCGCGGGTGGGGCAACGTAGCGGTGGAGTTGCATGGCTGAGGCGTGAATCGTGGGTGAGGTGCGTAGCATTCCCGCCACGTGTCTCTGACAGCACCCACGCATGGCGCTGCTGGGCGCACGGATGTACCTTGTATAGCTGTCGCTAACCTTCCAGCAGGTGCACGAGTCTAGGGTGGGGGACGTGCATGGAGTCATAGCAGCAGCAACACGACCATCAACTCTATCGGACCTTGAGCGACATTCGCCTACACTACCACACAAACCCCAACAAGGTCTCCTCAAACACGCATTTGGAAGAGAGCTACTGTAGCAAATCCATGCGCCAAAGTTGAGTTTGCTGGCCCACCAATAGGTTGATATCACGAACCAACCCGAAGGCTCCAGCTTGGCGAGGCCCTTTGATCGAGCCTAGTTCCATTCGATACCGAGATGGCTGCAGCTGTAGCGACCGCAGGTGCGGTTGGTGGGACTGGCAGCTCTGCTGCGTCGCAGCCCCCACGCACAATCGAGACGTTGCACGAAGACATGATTGTAAGTCTTGACAGTGAATGCAGCATCTAAAGATTCAGCAGGTCGATTTGGCACGAGGCCATCGCGCAAAGCGAAAGCCTGCGGTCCTCAGTATCCTGCTGTACTGGTCATCTACTGTTGCGCTAGCTGACTCTCTTTGGTTTCGCTTGGCTCCCTCGTTTGCCTCAGCACGACGCTCAGCTAGACTATTACGGGAGGAAGCTGGCTACATGCTCAAGCGATCGAACTGTCAGAGTGTTTGATGTGGTGGAGGGAAGCGCCAGCGGCCAAGGAGAGACGCTCAGGGGGTGAGTCATGGAGCGATTGAATCTCCCTGGACTTGCCGGCGCGTCTGTAGGAAGTGAGCTGCTACGTCTTGCCGAGGGCGACGACAGCAGGGCATTGCGAACAGGCATCTGAGGCGTGTCCTGGAGAAGAGGACACAAGTCAAGAGCGCGTGGTCGCGAGCGTCGTTCTCGTCTAGCTAAATTGTTGGCCAGTCGCCGTTGGCAGGCTTATGGAGCCTAGCTGACCACTCATCTCTTCCTTCGCCAGCCACGAAGGCCCAGTCTGGCAGGTCGCATGGGCTCACCCTAAATTTGGGCCTATTCTTGCATCGGCCTCCTACGATGGCAAAGTAATAATCTGGAAGAACGACGGGACGGCTCCAGCGGCGAATACGGGAGGGTATGGCGCGTATGGACAGGCTCCGCCATCGAGCAGCGGCGGTTGGCAAAAGATTAAAGAGCACGCTCTTCATGGCGCAAGCGGTGAGCTCGAAGAACTCTTTCGGCTCGATAGAGGGTCCTATCGCTGATACGAGTAGCTCTGCTGCGTGCCTCTTCAGTCAATTCAATTGCTTGGGCCCCACATGAGCTTGGCGCGATTCTAGCCTGCGCTTCTTCTGATGGCAATGTCTCCGTTCTGACCTTCAATGGTTAGTGCAGAGTCGGGCGAAGGGCTGTGACTTACGTGCCTCCCACTCACGGCTTCCCCTTTTCCTTTTCAGATGATGGAACTTGGGCAGTCGACATGGTAGCGGCACATCCCATCGGTGCCAATGCCGTGTCCTGGGCGCCAGCAGCCGTTCCTGGCTCGCTCATCTCCAGTCAACAGCCCGCCGCTGCTGCTGGAGGCGCGACAGCGGACGTGCCCAAGGTCAGGCGTTTTGCTAGCGGTGGCTGCGATAACAGCGTCAAGATTTGGGAATTATCGTGAGTGGATTGGGGAAGAATGGAGGGCTTGGCCACGCCACGCCACAGGCTCCACAATTGCTGATCTTTGCTCCATGACTCTACTTGACCAGTGCCGAGCAAGGTCGATGGACCGAGGCAGAGGTGCTGACTGGACACACGGATTGGGTACGAGATGTGGCCTTCTCGCCCAACATCGGCTTGCCTCGTTCATACCTGGCCACGGCCTCCCAAGACCGCACGGTGCTCATCTGGACGCAAGACAATCCTTCTTCGGCTTGGACCAAGACGCAGCTCACTGCCCAACCTTTTCCCGGTGCCGTCTGGAGAGTATCGTGGTCTGTCACTGGACAAGTGCTGGCTGTCAGTGCCGATGATGGCGTTGTCAGACTCTTCAAGGAGAGCTTGAAGGGCGCTTGGGAAGAGGTTAGCGTGCTCGATTCGTAAAAATGTCAGTCTTGTACACTCTAGCCCGAGCGTCAATGCCAATCACGAATCGTCAATATGCTGGCCTTTTTTGCTGTTGTGTCCGTCTCCGCTTCTTCACACAATATCTCCAACTGCAACGCCGTCACTCTCAAGAGACCAGCTACAAAGACGGGATCGCTAGGAAGATAAATCAAGAATGATATTGAGCAAGTGCTCGGATGACGAGGCCGCCGCGACGCAGAAAACCAATACAGTTGGGTGGTCCGCAAGAAGTAGAAAGAAGAGGACAAGATACGCTAAACCGTGAACAGTTGTTGTCGTTCTGATGTTGAAGTTTGCACAGGCGACAGCAAAGCAGCATGTCGCAGATCGGTGCAGTGGAGGCGTCGAAGATGGTATGGCCCTTCGACAGGTCTGCAGCCAAGGTGGAGAAGTGCCTTGCGTCTCTTGTGTGGCTCATCGGTGTAGACCATGTAGACCAACTTCACGTCGCCGCATGACGGTATAGGATGATGGCCAGGTGACCAAATAACACCGACACATGCTCGAAAGATTGCCTATAGCCAGCGATTTCTCTACTGCTTTGCTGGCTTTGCTGGCGTTGTTGGCGTTGTTGGCTCTGGTGCCGGCACTGCAGGCGTCGCCGCTGCTGCTGCGTCTTGTAGCTCTGCCATGTACTCCTTGTACTCTAGGGCTTCATTTTGAAGGGAGGTGTTCTGATTTGCTAGGGCCGCAGTCTGCGATTTCTGCTTGACGAGTTCGTTTGCCAATAGGACACTACCGCCGCCCACTACTCCAACGGTGCCGGCGATCCTTTGATCATGTAAAGCGAGGTGTCACGTCAGTCTGGCACATGACTTGGACGGAGTAGATCGAACATTTCACCAAAGTGCCCTCAACGTACCGCTTAGGCTCGTTTGGAAAGGCACTATTAACTCACTTTGCTGCCTTGGCCCCTGAAAGGTGTGGGGACATGCGCGGCGCCGCGATAGTCTAGCCCGTCAACTATCATTCTAATCTTTGGCATGATCGATCCTTATCCGCAAACTCACACTTGCCAGCCTTTCCGACCTTGCCAGCAGTGCTGGCCAGGCCTTCTACACCCTTGACGTCAGTCGCAATAGTCTTGCCTGATTTGCCCAATTTTAAGAGCGAGCCGAAGCCTCGAGCGGCGCTCCCAAGCATCGGTTCACGACGTTCGAGCGTCTCGATGTGCTGGTCGTTGGGCTCAGCAACTTCTTCTGATTCCTCACGCGCATAGAGCTCGTCGACGGACTTGTTCATGTCCTTCTTTATCAGACCTGCTTGCTTCATCATCTTGTTGTACTCATCGTTTTGGTGGGCCAATGCGGCGTTTTGCGTAGCGAGAGCTTTCTGTTCGGCGGCTTGCGACTTCAACATGTAGGTGGTGCCGCCAGCAAGAAGACCGGCACCGACACCCGCGTAAACGAGTCTGGGAGGGGTTTGGCAGAAGCAAGCGAGTCCCCATCGAGTGCGTGAGCGCATGATCTTTCAGAGCACACAACGGGTCGCCGTCTACTCACTTCTTGCCGAAGCTCGTCTTCTTCTTGCCGAGCTTACCAGCGTCGCCCACCAAATCGTCGCCAACCTTGCCCGCTGAACCGATCTCTCCGCCGCCCTTGCCAACAGTGGAGCCGGCCCTCTCGAGTTGAGTCGCTTCCTTCCCAATCGTCGAGGCTGACTTGCCAAGCGTGGCAGCGCCTTTGACAGCATTCTCCGCCTCGAGCAGACCAGTGGCGACACCTCCCAGAGGTGAGCGTCGATGCAGGGTGCCCGCTGCAGAGCTACCAGCAGATTGATCGATGGGCAAGGGATGCGCAAGGCCGCTGTGAAACGCCAACGCAACAAATTGAACCAGAGTAGCTGTCGTAGCGAGCCTCATGGTGATATGAAGACGGGTCGGAGGTGAAGAAAAGGGAAGTTATTGGATACACAAATGCGGGGCAGACCAGCTGACAGCAGTCGCAAATGGATAGAGGATGACGACGACTACAACGACGAAGTTTGTGGGTGATGGAAGTATTGACTTCAAAGAAGACCAGCTTCTTGGAAATAGGGGTGAGTCGAGTCTCGCAATTGAACCGTTAAAGGGGGTTTTGGGGAAGACCAGCTTCCAGTGCAAGTCTTGACGAGCGTCGAGGGGTGCGAGGTTGAAAGACGGGAGCCGTGCGAGACAAAACGTCGGACCATGCCAACTTATATGCAGCCCTGTCCAGGTGACTGTGCGAAGAGCGTGCGGCGCCCCGAAAACAGCAGACGCACCACGAAGGTGTCGCGCTCAAGCATCAATCAGCACCTCTCATCCATAGGCGACTTCAATCTGGCGCAGTGACGACGCAATTCCGCGTAGACCCGTGGTATCAGCACCCAAGTAGTGCGCCAAACGCCCAATAGTCGCGAGTACACCCACAGCTCGTGACTGCAGAATCAAATCTGGACGGCGTGTGCGCCTCGGATGAATTTCCGGCATAGCATGGTAGTTGACGCCTGCGCATGGCTTGGCGAGTGATCCAGAGCTGATGAGACCATACACCGTCCAAAGGTCACGAGCGATGAGGTCAGGCGGGTGCCTGGGCCCGGTGTCGAGGTGCCTGACTGAGAGAACTCGTGACTTCTCTTTGGGAGTGCAGACGAACAGCTACAGCGCGTTCCTCGATCTTGCTTGCTTCGATGGACAAGTAGTCGGTAGATCGATCTCTGACGAGCTGACTGCGCGGAACGCCAGCGAGGCGCATCATTGATGGCGTCAATCCTTGCTGACAGCGAGGACGGATGATGCGCAGCACTTGTCCTTCCAGGTACGCCATATGTGGTGAGGGTCGATCAGCGACAAGCCCATATGATCCTCGTGCTTCGTTCATGGAGCTATAGGCGCCGCAAGGCTGCGCCCGTGTTTGCGCCCCGCCGCCCTCGTCGCCGAGCATCGCGGTCGTGGCGTTTGTGCACCTGCACCGCTGTGACTGACGACTCTACACATGGGTCTGTGCGCCATCCTTGATCCACGACGAGGCGTCAATTGAACACTGCGGCGGACCGAGGCACTCTGATTGGCGCAGCAGAAAGTATTAATCGCGCCGCAGAGGTCGGCACGTAGGGAAAGAAAGAAATGAGGAGCAGGTGATGGATGACGAGGTGCGCGCGCTGATGCGATTGGGCCGGATCGGATCCTGATTGCGCCCGCCTTGGATCCCAGCTGCAACTTGATTGCATTCACCATCAAATCAAGCATTCGGATTGCTGTGAACCAGAATGATCAGTCACGAGTCATGCGCCGTGACTGTTGCCATGGTTGCTCTGGTCTTGCCGTTGTCTTGACTGCTCACACAATCACGGATAGCGAATGCTTTGACCATTTGCATGTAGCTGTTAATTGCTGATTTGGCGTGGCGCGCTTTGCTGCTGGCAGCAGGAATTGAGGGCATTCGAGAAAGCTGGCGCTCCATCAAGAATCGGTGCTTGCGCATTTACAGATCATCAACACCTCCAAATCATGTCTAAAGAATTGTGAATTGCAATCAGTGGATCACGAATCGCCTGTCGTCAATCTTGAGTCGTGAAGAGTCGTCAAGGTGGATGGATGCATGAACACGTGAGACCGAGCAAAGGGTTCGCGAGGCAAGGCGAGGGTCATGCTGAATGTGAATGCGCCAGGAGTCACGTGAGTGTGCTCGCGCTGCTGCGAGAGAAGGACGCGAGTCATCAGCCATGCAGCAGCAGTGATCTCAGAAGTTCAGCTTTCCCGCGGCCAGTCACAATTTGAATCACATTCGTGTAATTTTGACTGCATGAATATATATATATATATACAAGCTTCAATCATTCGAGCTCCTACGTGCGGCTGATGACCGCCCCTTCCGGTATATCCGCGTCGAGTTCTTTCGGTGAAGGAGATGGCAAGGAATCCTTCGGTCGCGAGCACGCAATCACTGGATGCTCATGTGAAGGTGTATTTGTCACCGTCTTGATTTTCTTTGACTCTTGACTCACAATCACAACGACAGACTTGGCAGAGGGGTAATTCTGAGTCAAGAATCAAGAATGGCAAGGTCTTTGTCCGGTTGCAACCCCTCACGTGAGTGCAACTTTGTCCGCCCAGAGAGCATAGCGCGCCTCCTCAAAAGTCGATCACCTCATGCTTTCGTCTTTGGTGAACTTTGCGCAAGCCTCTTGCTTGGTGTACTCCATGGCCACGGATGTCAGGAACAACGTGAGAGCTACCAATTCGGCACCACAACTTAGATTCAGGTCATGCTTGATCCAGCCATATGTGGCATAAACAGCTGTCACCAGCCGACAAGCGGTAGTCGAATAGGCGCATTTATAAATCATAACCAACGTGAATACAAATTCCGAATACTGGTACTGCATGGATACCTGCTTTCGCCGGACCGGTTGCTCAGCGAAGACTTTTTACCCGGAGCGTGTCCATCCATTGACGAGATGCATCTGTGGCAGCTCACGAGTGTCGGGCCAAGGACGCACGGACGCACGCGCGGACGCAGCCGAAGTGGAGGGGCGCACTCTCACCCCGCGCGATCAGCCAGCGCAGAGGCCCGTGCGGCCACTCGGCGGGTGTGGGTTCATTGAAAATCTCTACAGGCTCGAGGCACGGCACCAGAGCAGTGATGTTGAGGTCTATCTGCTTTGCAGCGCCACACCTCGTGCTGCATTGTTCCCACAATCACCTAAGCCAGCCAGATGGGCGCGGGTCCAGGTCGGCATCACACTGCTGCCTGCCAATGTACCCGCGACTCTGACTGCTGCTGATGGCCCTCGATGAAGCTGAAGGTCGCGCGCGGTACAAAGTAGCGAAAGTGGGGCCGCACGGCTTGTGGCGGGCCCTCGCTATACTTCGGAAGTCGTGAACGTGTGGTGTGCTGACTCTGCCATGTCTGGCCGCTCCATGGTGCGGTCTCATCGAGGAGTCGTGGAGAGTCTGTGTGCGGCACGATTTGCCTGAGGCTGTTAAGCTTGTTATTCCAAACCAGCGGGTCTGCTGTGCTGGCAGGTGCCAAGAGCGAGCGACCTGCTCGTCGCGGTAGGCCAGCGGGTTGCACATGCGGCATGCATGGCTGCAAGAGCACCGCGTGCAGAGGCAGCAGCAGATTGAAGCAGAAGTGGAGGGGAGGGGAGGGCCCACGCGAAGTTGTGAGTGTTGGTACTCCCCCGCCTCGCCGCAACAGGACTGGTTCTTTCTGCAGCGAGCTTGCGTGCGGTGTGCGAGAGGCCCTTCAAAAACCAACGAAGAACAAGCTGTCGGCCCACCATCTTAACATCACCTGCTAAGCGTCACAAGCATAGCCACGCGTCGTTTCGTATTGATACTGTACACAACCTCACACACCTGCCACATCAAACCTGACAACATGGCTGGCAAAGCAACTCTGAGCTTCCCCACCGGCGAGAAGTCTGTGAGTGGTGGCGGGCTAGCTTTCCTCTGCGTCTGCCCACTCTCAAGCAGCTACTGATGAGCTTGCAACCCTCCATCGCAGACCATCTCGACCGGATTGTTCATCGACAACAAATTCGTTCCTGCGCTCGATGGTAAGACCTTTGGCGTGGTCAACCCAAGCACTGGCGAAGTGAGTGTGCAAGGTTGACATCATCTGTATACGTTCGAGCGCAACTTACTCACACCTTGGACTTCATCTTAGGAAATCGCTCAAGTCTCAGAGGCATCGGCAAAGGACATCGATGTTGCCGTCAAGTCTGCACGCAAAGCCTTCAAGGAGGTGTGGGGAGAAAAGACCCCAGCTTCTCAGCGTGGCAAGATCTTGATGAGGCTTGCTGATCTTGTCGAGCAGAACAACGATGAGCTGGCTCGCATCGAGTCGCTTGACAACGGAAAGCCATTCTCCATCTCTAGCACTTTTGACGTCCCTTCTGTGGCAGCCAACATTCGCTACTTTGCAGGATGGGCCGACAAGAATCACGGAAAGACCATCGAGGTGGACACTCAGTCTGACTTCCACTACACTCGTCACGAGCCTATTGGCGTCTGCGGTCAAATCATCCCTTGGAACTTCCCTCGTGAGTCTTACGCCTTCGATATATTCGGAATCGTACACTGACCTACTCTCACACCCACTCGACGGCGCAGTCCTCATGTTCGCATGGAAGATTGCTCCCGCGCTCGCCACTGGTAATACCGTCGTCTTGAAGACCGCCGAGCAGACACCTCTGAGCGCCTTGAAGATGTGCGAACTGATTGCAGAGGCTGGCGTGCCACCCGGTGTCCTCAACGTCGTTTCTGGCTTCGGCCCGGTTGCTGGCGCAGCCATCGCATCTCACATGGACATTGACAAGGTCGCGTTCACCGGCTCTACCCTTGTCGGTCGCAACATCATGAAGGCAGCTGCTTCTTCGAACCTCAAGAAAGTTACTTTGGAGCTCGGCGGCAAGTCGCCCACCATCGTTTGTGATGACGCTGACCTGGACAATGCCGTGTCCTGGGCTACATGCGGTATCTTGATGAACTCTGGACAGGTCTGCTGCGCTGGCTCTCGTCTCTTTGTGCAAGACACCATCTACGACAAGTTCATGGAGAAGCTGCAGGAGAAGTTCACCATGATCAAGGGCATGACCAAAGATGGTTTTGCCAAGGACTCTTTCCAAGGTCCTCAGGTATCTCAGCTTCAATTCGACCGCATCATGGAGCACATTGAGACCGGTAAGAAGGAGGGCGCCACTCTGAGGCAAGGTGGCAACCGTCACGGCGACAAGGGCTACTTTATTGAGCCCACGATCTTTGAAAATGTGCCCGTGGATGCGAAGATCAACCGTGAAGAGATCTTCGGACCTGTTCTGGTCGTCAACAAGTGGAAGGACGAGGAGGAGCTGATTGCTCGTGCTAACGATACTCTGTACGGCTTGGCGGCCGCTGTGCACACCACGCACATCCGCAAGGGTATTGAAATTGCGCACAAGCTGCAGGCGGGAACTGTCTGGATCAACCAACACAACATGCTCAACCCACAAGTTCCGTTCGGTGGCTACAAGGCTTCGGGCATCGGTCGCGAGCTGGGAGAGTACGCTCTGGCCAACTACACCAATGTCAAGGCTGTCCACCTGGCCCTCGGCAGACAACCCCCCATCTAAGCTGTTACGCACCTCGGTGCAACGCTCTCGCCCCTTCCTCCCGCACTTGCTCTCGCGCTCTCGTCACTTTGTAGTAAGCTTCTCACTCTTACGCCTGCAATGAGGAAATTATTCCACGACACCGACAGCTTTGCGCTGGCTCGGTCAGCTCAGGATGATGGCATCTGGCATGGATGCGCCGCAGGTCTTGGCACGCTATGCGCTGCACGCCTGGTGTGATCATTTCGTCGCTGCGATCGACGTGTTTTTGCGCGACTGGCTCTGCCTTGTCAGCTGACGGTGTTGTGTGGATGGGTGATTGGGCAATCTGCGCTGTGATCGCTTGCTCTGTACGGTGGGTGGGGTGTATCGATTGTTTTTTTGGGCAGGCAAGCAAGCATGCGATGCAGATGGTCTGGTCATATGACCGGAGCCACACATGCGACAAGCAAACTCTTATTCCTTCGTGACTTTGCAGTCTTGCGGCTCCCCCATGGCATTTGATTGGCAAGGTTTGCGCCCGTCAGGGTTCTACAGGATGCACTGCACCGCACCACAACACGCAGACGCAGACGCAGACGCAGACGCAGACGCAG